GGGTGGGCCACAAGGCCAGCGTGGGCGGCCAGGGCGGGGTGGGCAGGGCGGGGCTCGCTGCACCCCAGGAGCCTGTGCATCTTGTGGCCTGACTCTCTCGCTTTGAGTTGTGGGTCCTGAGCGCACGTTGGCGTGGCCTTCCCAGAAGGCCAATGCCCCGCATTCCAGGGCTTCCAGACAGGGCCTCTCGCAGGAAGTCCTTTCCAGAGTCTGGCCCAGCTTCCTCCTGCTGTGGGTGAAACTGTCCCCGCACCTTGTGCAGGAAAGGAATGGCTGCCTCCTCCCCAGACACAGACACCCCCCTTCAGCTGGGCCCTCAGAGTCCTTCTTGGAGGAGGAATGGCGGCCAGGATTTGATGGAAAGGAAGCAGGCATTGGGACCCCCTTCCTTTTGCAGAGGGCTGGCCAAGTGGGGTTGATCGTAACCTGTGTCAAGCCCTCATCCCAGGCCAGACCTGCACCCAAGTGCAGAGCCTGAGGCACAGAGAGGCTGCCCAAACCGCCCGAGGTGGTACAGTAGGGATGGGAGGGCGTTGGGATTGGGATGCAGCAGTCTGGCTGGGGTCTGAGCCTGTGGCCTCCATGGGGAGGGGGGGATTGGGTGTGCAGTCTCAGACGACCCCGCCTGCTGTCTGTCCTCAGGGCTCCGGTCCTTGTGGCGCTGGCTCTCATTGAGAGCGGGATGAAATATGAGGACGCCATCCAGTTCATCCGCCAGTGAGTGCTGGGGCCCGGGAGAGAGGGGCCTGGCTGCCCAGGCCAGGCTGGGCCTTCGGGTGACCCCTGCTCAGTGCATGCCTCGTAACACCCTGCGGTTCCCTCAGCCTGGCTGTGTCGGTCAGGACGGGATGTTGTGCTGCAGAGGGGGCAGGCCTGAGCCCTGGCAAATGCAGCCACACAGGCTTGCTTCTTGCTCGGGTTACAAGCCTGACAGATTAGCAGGGCCCTAGGCAGGGACCCAGCCGAGGGCAGCCCGGTCTCCTGTTGCTGGTGCTGGCCGCTTCGTGGGGCAGAGATCCGGGTCCCTTCCCACTCCCATCTCATTGGCCAGAGCAAGTCTGCGGCCACGCCTGAGGACACACATGGGTAGAGACTGAAGAGTCTCCTCACCTGAGTATCTCTCAGCTCAGCTACAGTGTCACGTGTCCAGGAAGTCCTCCTGCTCACCCTGGGCCGAGTGCAGGTGGTCAAGGACAAGGTGGCGGCAACCGAATGAGCACTCAGACCAGGCCCCTGAAGTCCAGAGCCGGAGCAGCTACTTCCCTCGATGACCTGACAGCCCCGCTGCCCCATGCCAGGCTACACACATAGCCTGAATCCTTAGGTTCCCCTGGTGCCCGACCACCATGGCTTCATTTTACAGCTGGGTAACTTGAGGCTCAGGGAGGGAGTGAGTGCTGGGGTGGGGTCAGAACTGACTCCAGAGTTCCTTGCACGGCCCCCGCCTCGCTTGCAGCATTTCCCTCCCCTCTCCCTCCAAGACAGTGGAAGGCCCAGGCACCACCTTTGTTGCCCTCTAAGAGATCAAGGTCTGGGGGTGGGTCATACCCAGCTGGGGCTGAGGGCTGTGGGGAGCCCAGGGAGTCAGCCTGGAGGAGGTGGTACCTTGGTGAGTTTGGAAGGCAAACGGATGAGCCTCAAGTGACCAGGAAAGGGCGATTCTGATGGTAGGAACAGCCTGGACAAAGGTCCTGGGGTCGGAACGGCTCTGCCGACCCTGGGACCCATTCCAGCCCCACTGCACCCTGGGCTTTGAGCTCCTTGGGGCAGGAGAGGTGGCCAAGCCAGAGCCCCTGATGACCCCTGTCCCCATCTTCCCAGGAAGCGCCGTGGGGCCATCAACAGCAAACAGCTCACGTACCTGGAAAAGTACCGGCCTAAACAGAGACTGCGATTCAAAGACCCACACACGCACAAGACCAAATGCTGCGTCATGTAGCTCAGGACCTTGGCAAGGCCTGGGGCCTGCGGTGGCCCTGCCCGGCCCTGCCCTGCCCAGCAGGGCCTCCGTGCCTTGGCCGGCCCCCATCACGCCTTTTCTTTCCTGACGCCTCGGCACACCTGTGTCCGAGGAGTCCGACTGCACCACGTATGCCCTCTCTCTGCCTCTCTCTCTCCGTCTCTGTCCCTCCCTTTGTCTCTGTGCCCAAGACTGTCTCCCTGCGGCAGGCCGGGACCCTTTTCTCTGGGCCTCCTGCCAGCGCCCCCCGGCACCACCCTCAGACAGGCCTCCTCTCTGGCCTGTTTATTGAGGGGTTGGGGGTGTATGTTTTTTAACCACTGGGCTCAGCCCCTCTGCGGCCCCCTGCCCTGGCCTGTTCTCGGCACCTTAAATTATTAGATCCCGGGGCAGTCAGGTGTTCCGGACACTCGAAGGCAATAAAACAGGAGCCGTGGCTGTGTGTGTGCAGAGTGGGGTGCGGGGTCAGGTGGGGGGGAGACGGGCGGCCAGGGAGGCCACCATCTGGGGAACCTGGTCTCTGTTGCCTCTGCGCTGCGGCTGCTGAGTACTTCTGCAGCACCCCCTGGTGGTCGTGTCGGGTCCCTGCACCCTAGATTTAGCTAAATGACCAACCTGCGATGTCCCTGATAGGCCAGAGTGAGAGCCACAGGGCGGGTGGAGTTGCCAGGTTAGGTGTTGGGGGCTGGGACATTCGGAAGCGAGGCTGGGTCACCAGCACTGCTCTCTGCAGGACAGGCTGGAACTCACTTGGTAATTCTTCAAGTCCTTGGGTCCAGCAGGGTGGCTTCCCTGTCCCGCCCAACCAAGGGTCCTCATTTCAGCCTTAGAGGCTCAGACAGGAGAACTGGTGGTGGGGGCTGGTGAGGAAAACACCTCCCCTCAGCCCAGGGGGAGGGGCTGCAGGGGGACACTCAGACCAGACACCTGGAGGTGGGTCTGAGCGTGGGAGAGCCCTAGGTCGGCTGCCAGTGTGTCGATTGTGATACTCACAAGCTGTGTGCAGGTTTCCGTGTTGGGGGCTGGCCCCCCCCAGGGCTGAGAAAAGGGGTGCAGGGAGGGCAGGGCCCCAACTGGGAGGAAGGTGAGCCCAGGCTGGCTGTGCGTGGAGGGTGGGGAGTGGTCTCTGGCCCAGGTTCCCTCTCCCCAGGTGCTGCCACCCACCTGGGGACCCCAGCCAAAGACCTCCCTGACGCGGCCAGGCCCTTCAGACCATGAGGCCCAGGCCGCCTCACACCTGCATCCCTCCTCAGATCCTCCCACTGCCCACAACCTTCCCTCCCTTCCACCCACCCTACACTCACTCTTGGTTAGGCGGTGGAAAGGGGCTGCCCTCTCACCTGGGCACCTGAGAGGGCTCACCTAGGCCCCCGGAAATCAGTTTCCACTTTTCCCAGATGAGGAAATAGACCCAGGAAGGGTGGGCCTTGGCTCTGGTGGCCTGGTGAGTCCTGGCCAGAGGCTCAGTCCCCACATGCAGGGCCTGCTGCTGGGGCCATCCCGCTCACTCACGGCATGGGCCTTGGAGTGGCCGGACGGGCTGCGACTTTCTTGGGGCCCTGGGAAGGTGGCCGAGGAGACGCAGGTCCTGTGTCTCCACCCCCTGGCCTGCTATGGCTGGGCCTGGCACTGAACTGCTATTACTATTGGTGCCATTCATGGAGCACCTACTGTATATCAGGCTCTGAGAGCCTGCTTGTCCTCAAGCCATGCTGCCAGGTCGGAATGAGGCCCCTTGCCATGTCCGCAAGAGGAGACAGACTGAGATCAAGGGCTTGTTCCAAGTCACTGTTGGTTCCAGGAATCAGTTGAGTCCAGGCCCCTCCCCCTCCTGCCCCCCACACCCTGGGCAGCCACCAGTGCCCCCGGGCTCAGGGCAGGCACCACATCTCACACTGTCCCTTGCATGGTCCCGGGAAGATTAAAATGGAGGGGGGAACCCCAGGAGGGGTGAAAGCCAAGAAGCAATACTGTCCCTGTGCAGCCACTTGCAACCTCCTCCAGCTCAGAGCAAGCACAGGCCGAGTGCAGCGAGAAAAGTCACAGCGTCCCAACTGCACACAAACACCTGGGGCAGCAGGATGTCCCTGAGCGCCTGCCTGTGTGTGCTCGCCTGAGCCGAGTTCATGTTTACAGGAAGAAAGGAGGAAAAGACACCCAAGATGCCACAGGACTGAGCCTCTCCCTGAGGGGCTGACACCCCCTCACCATCTACAGCTGCTGGGCTTCTGGGGAGACCCCAAGGGCAAAAGAGCATGTGGCCTGTGTGTGCTAAGAGGCTTTCTGGAAGGGAGGATGACCTAGATGGGAGCCTGGAGAATGAGGAGTGAGCCCACCCCCTAGGGAGACCACACCCCGGTCCAGGGACCCAGCTCTGGCACTCACTGTTCTCATACCCCCCAGCCATGGAATTCAGCAGGGAGGTCAGTGGATATGATGAGAAAACGTGACAAGAGGAAACTGCCCTGGAGCTCAGGCTCTGCCCCAGAGCTGGGAAAATGGCTGATGGCCCAGGCCCCGCCACCTGGCCTGTGTGCAGACAGGCCACTGGCTCTGCTGAATGGTGTTTTCCCTGTTCTCCAGCACATCTGGAACATGTGGCATGTTTGGTAAAGTCTCCTTTTTGAGTTGGAGTCTCACTCTATCTCCCAGCTGGAGTGCAGTGGCACACTCATGGTCACCCCAGCATCGACCTGCTGGGCTCCAGTGGTCCTTCTGCCTCAGCCTTCCAAGTAGCCAGAACTACAGGCGCATGCTACCACGCCCAGCTAATTTTTTTGATTTTATTGTAGAGATGAGTTGCCTGGGCTGGTCTCGAACCTCAGGCTCAGGCAATCCATTCGCCTCGGCCTCCCAAGTGCTGGGATTACAGGCTGAGCCCCCGAGCCCGGCCCAAGTCTCTTTTTTCAACCCACCGTCCGAGTCTTGGGGCCTTCTCTGTGCAGCTGGGTCCCTGCCCCAAGAGGCTTGCCGTCTAGTGGGGTGACAGGGAGGCAGGCTGGCAGACCATCCGGCATGGGGTAGGGGTGCTCAGGCTCAGTGGGGCTGGGGTGGGATGCTGGGCCTTGGGGGATGAAGGGTAGGTGGGGCTCTGGGTGGAAAGAAAGGCCTGAGGAGGTGGGGTGGGGAAG